TGAGGGAATTTCAGGAGGTTTTCCCGCTGCCCGTAGGCGAAGATGCACACGGGGTACCCGGCCAGGGCTGACTGGCAACGGGAATACACGGAATTTTAGGGAATTTGGGGGGAAATCAGGGAATTTCAGGGAATTTGGGGGGGATTTGGGAGGGATTTGGGGGGATTCGGGGGGAAAATGAGGGAATTTCAGGAGGTTTTCCCGCTGCCCGTAGGCGAAGATGCACACGGGGTACCCGGCCAGGGCAGACTGGGAATGGGAATACACGGAATTCTGGGAATGCTGGGAATGCTGGGGGGGAATTCGGGGAATTTGGGGGGATTCGGGGGGAAATTTGGGGAGAAATCAGGGAATTTCAAGGAGTTTGGGGGGGAATTTGGGGGGGAAATTCAGGGAATTTGGGGGGATTTGGAGGAAATCTGGGGGGAAATTCAGGGAATTTGGAGGGAAATTCAGGGAATTTGGAGGGAAATTCAGGGAATTTGGGGGCATTGGGGCGGAAATCAGGGAATTTCAGGGGGTTTAGGGGGAAATTCGGGGAATTTGGGGGAAATTCGGGGAATTTTGGCAGGTCAGAGGGAGGATTTGGGAAGAATTGGGGAATTCTGAGGGCAGGGAGGGAATTCCAGAGCGGTTTGGGAAGAGGTTTGATGGGAATTTGGGGGGATTCAGGGGGGAATTTGGGGGGAAATTCAGGGAATTTGGGGGAATTCGGGGGGAAATTCGGGGAATTTGGGGGGAAATCAGGGAATTTCAAGGGGTTTGGGGAGAAATTTGAGGAATTTGGGGGGAAATTTGGGAGCATTTGGGGGGAAATTCAGGGAATTTTGGCAAGTCAGAGGGAGGATTTTGCGAAGGCCTGGGGAATTCTGAGGGGGGTTTGGGAATTCTGAGGGGATGGGATTTGGGAATTCTGAGGGGGATTTGGGAATTCTGCGGGGGGTTTGGAATTCTGAGGGAGTGTTTGGAATTTGAGGAGGTGGAATTCTGAGGTGGGTTTGGAATTCTGAGGGGTTTGGGATTTGAGGGGGGTTTGGAATTCTGAGGGGGGTTTGGGAATTCTGAGGGGGGTTTGGGAATTCTGCGGGGGTTTGGGAATTCTGAGGGGGATTTGGGAATTCTGAGGGGATTTGGGAATTCTGAGGGGGATTTGGGAATTATGAGGGAGGGTGGGAATTCTGAGGGGGGTTTGGGAATTCTGAGGGGGTTTGGGAATTCTGAGGGAGGGTTGGGAATTCTGAGGGGGGTTTGGGAATTCTGAGGGGGGTTTGGGAATTCTGAGGGGGGTTTGGGAATTCTGAGGGGGATTTGGGAATTCTGAGGGGGATTGGGAATGCTGGGGGGGGATTCGGGTGGGATGGAGTTGGATTTGGGTGGAATTCCGGGGATTTTTGGGACTGTTGAGCTGCAGGGGGGTGGGAAGGGATGTTTTGGGAGGCAAACCTGGACGAGCAGTTGGATTTCCTGGAATATTTCCTGCTGGGAAGCTCCGGGCGGGAAGACGCGGTCGAAGCTGAAGTCGTAGCGCAGCTCCGGGCGCCGCTCCCGCCCCACGTGGGACTGGGGGGAAAAAATGGGAATTTGGGGGAAAAAACGGGAATTTTGAGGGGAAAAGGGGGGTTGGGGGGGAAAAGGGGCATTTTTTGGAGGAAAAGAAGGAGTTGGAGGGGTGGGAAAAAGAGGGGCAGAGGCAAAAAATGGACATTTTTGCTCCCAAAAAGGCGTTTTTTTGCTGTAAAAAGAGGATGGTTTTGAGGGGGAAAAGTGGGATTTTTGAGGGGGAAAAGTGGGATTTTTGAGGGGAAAAGTGGGATTTTTGAGGGGGAAAAGTGGGATTTTTGAGGGGAAAAGTGGGATTTTTGAGGGGGAAAGTGGGCTTTTTGCGGGACCGTGGGCTTTTTGCGGGGGACCAATGGGCGTTTGGCGGGGGCCCCGTGGGCTTTTTAGAGGGGCCCCGTGGGCTTTTTGCGCGCCCCGTGGGCTTTTTGAGGGGCCCCGTGGCCTTTTTGCGGGGCACGTGGGACTTTTGCGGGGAAAACCCCCCTTTTTGCGGGCCCCGCTGGGCTTTTTTGCGGGGCCGCCCCGCCCCCTTTTTGCGGGGCAACACGCGTCAGTTTTTTTGACGCGTCCCAGACAGGCTTTTTGCGGGGGGGCCCCACCCCCCGCCTTTATTTAGCCGACCACATGCCGTATTTGAGGGGACACCCCACCTGTTTTTGCAAGGGGAACCAGGGCTTGTGTGCGGGGCACGCCACAACCATTTTTGCGGGGGGACCCTGGATTTTGAGGGGCACCACCTCTTTTTTGCGGGCCACCGGCTTTGGGGTGCCCCCTCATCCCCTCGTCGGGCCGGGTGAGCACGAGCGTTTTGGGGTCCTGAGGAGAGAAGTGGAGGTGGTGGAGCCCCCGCTGCCGCTCCGACTCCTGCGGCAGCACCGGCCGCACGCGGCAGAACACGCGGATGTTGCCCTGGAAAACAGGGGAAAAAAAAATCGGGATTTAGGGATTTTGGGAAAGTTTGGGGGGGGGGTTTTCCCCTCATAAATCCCCCCCACGAGCCCACCTTGAGCTCCTGGATATCGTTGTGCAGGCGGCGCCGCTCCATCTCCAGGCGGTGGATCCGCTCTTCCTGCTCGGCCAGGAGGGATTTCTGGGATCTCTCCACCTCCTGCAGAGCGGCCACCCGGTCCAGCTGCACGTGGAGCTGCTCCTGCACCTGCCTCAGGTGAGCCTGGGGAGGGAAAGGGGGAAAAAATGGCGCCAAAAGGGAAAAAAACGGCGGAATCCGGGCAAAATTCCCAAAGCTGTCCCGACTTTTCAGGTGCCACCAAGCGGATTTTGACACCAAAATGGCAGAACTGGCAAAAAAGCGCCATTTTATCCAGATTTTTGAGGCACTTCCTGAGGGATTTTGACGCCAAAATGGCAGAATTGGTAAAAAAACGCCATTTTTTCCAGATTTTTGAGGCGCTTCCTGAGGGATTTTGATGCCAAAATGGCAGAATTGGTAAAAAAACGCCATTTTTTCCAGATTTTTGAGGCACTTCCTGAGGGATTTTGACGCCAAAATGGCAGAATTGGTAAAAAAGCGCCATTTTTTCCAGATTTTTGAGACGCTTCCTGAGGGATTTTGATGCCAAAATGGCATAATTGGTAAAAAAACGCCATTTTTTCCAGATTTTTGAGGCGCTTCCTGAGGGATTTTGATGCCAAAATGGCAGAATTGGTAAAAAAACGCCATTTTTTCCAGATTTTTGAGGCGCTTCCTGAGGGATTTTGACGCCAAAATGGCAGAATTGGTAAAAAAACGCCATTTTTTCCAGATTTTTGAGGCGCTTCCTGAGGGATTTTGATGCCAAAATGGCAGAATTGGTAAAAAAGCGCCATTTTTTCCAGATTTTTGAGGCGCTTCCTGAGGGATTTTGATGCCAAAATGGCAGAATTGGTAAAAAAGCGCCATTTTTTCCAGATTTTTGAGGCGCTTCCTGAGGGATTTTGATGCCAAAATGGCATAATTGGTAAAAAAGCGCCATTTTTTCCAGATTTCTGAGGCGC